TTACAGAGCGGGAAAAACATCAAACGAATATTTACGACTTTTGAAAAAGAAAAAGAGAAGAGAGAGAGAGAGAGAGATTGCATAAGGAAAAGAAAGGTAAATAATAAAGAAAGGAAAAGTGAAGAAGATAAAGAAAACGTAAGTGAGAAGGAATAAAAATATAAGAAAGGCAAAAAAAATGGAAAAGCTAAAAGAAAGAAAGAAAGAAACAAACAAAGAAAGAAACAAAGAAAAAGAAAATAAGAAAGAAAGAATGAAAGAAGGGAAGACAACTTGGAAGAAAGAAAAAGAAAGAGAGAATGAAAAGAAAAAGAAAGAAAAAGAAGAATTAACCGGTAAGAAAAAAGAAAGAAAGAAAGAAAGAGAGGCAGAAACGGCTAATAAATAAAGAAAGAAAGAAAGAAAGAAAGAAAGAAAGAGTGGAAATAACATGAAAGAAAGAAAGAAAGAAAGAAAGAAAGAAAGAAGCGGGGAAATGGGTAAGAAGTAAAGAAAGAAAGAAAGAAAGAAAGAAAGAAAGAAAGAAAGAAAAGTGGAAATAACATGTAAGAAAGAAAGAAAGAAAGAAAGAAAGAAAGAAAGAAAGAAAGAAAGAAAGAAGCGGGGAAATGGGTAAGAAGTAAAGAACGAATAAGAAAGAAAGAAAGAAAGAAAGAAAGAAAGAAAGAAAGAAAGAAAGAAAGAAAAAAAATGGAAATAACATGTAAGAAAGAAAGAAAGAAAGAAAGAAAGGGAACAGGTAAGAAATAAAAAAGAATGGAAGATAGAAATAAAGAACGGTAGAGAAAGGGAAAGAAAGAAAAAATAAAGAAAGAAAAAGTAAAAAATTTTTAAAAATTGCTTATAGCTTGAAGAAACCAGAAAATCAAATAACTAATTTGATGAACGAAAAGCAGCGAAAAGAAATGAAATGAATAATGAAAATTAGAGAAATATTGTTTGAAATCTTTCTCGAAAAGAAAACAGAAAATAAACAAAATCAAATAAACAAGGAGGAAAATAAGTGAAACTGGAAAAAGGAGAAAAAAGCAAAAGAAAGAAAGAAAGAAAGAAATATTAACGGGTTAAGATTGAAAAACAAATATTAAATCATTAAGAAAGAAAGAAAGAAAGAAAGAAAGAAAGAAAGAAAGAAAGAAAGAAAGAAGGGAAGAGAAGAGCTTATGAATAATTAATTAAAGAAAGAAAGAAAGAAAAGAATTTCAACTCAGTAGAATAAAAAAAAAAAAACAATGTAAAAATTAAGAAATTGTATGTATTACCAGAAATAGACCCCGTACACACAGTGATTACAGATTTGAATTAATGACGAATGTTCGACAGTCGGCTTTTTAAATCTCTAGATTCTGTTTGAAATATGAAAAACTGAAGGGTTTCCAAAAGTCATAACTTGTTCATTTTCAGTCTTTTTTCTTCGTTTTTTATTTATTTATTTTATTTTATTTTTTTTATTATTTTTTTTTTTTTTGCAGGAAATATAACATTACTTGTAGATTAAAATGGCAACGTATGATGTCCATCAACGATTAAAACTTATTGCGGTTTTCGATTCCAAAGAAATATCAATAATTCAAACTTGGAGAAAAAAAACGACAGCAATTTAATGTCAGAATATCTCCTTACGATAACATGATTCGGAACCTAATCTCCCGGTTTGGAAGAACTGGATCAGTCGGTGATCTTCCGGGAAGAGGTCCTAAGCTCACTGTGCCTAGTGATTCAGCGGTATCCATCAACTTCTACCCGTCGTCGCTCTGCTCAACTCGCTATCGCCAGAACATCGCTCCAGAAGATTCTGAAATTGGATTTAAAAATGGTTCCATACGAGATTCAAATGGTCCAAATTTTACTACACCAAGATACTCATGTGTTTGTAAAAGTTATTTTTGTTTTATATCATTCAGTCTTTTTCAGCGGCCACCCTGTAGAACTTCAGCTGTTGCTCTTTCCAGGTCATGTTGGTCGCTCCACGCCCAACAGTTTTTGTCATTCTCCTAGACCGGTTGCCAATCAAGGCTATAGGGCACAGTCAGCACTAGTATTTAACCTGCATTATTTGCATTATTCGGACTGTTATCCTCATCTTCATTGCCATATTCACAACGTTTCGGCAGCTGTACCTTTATCAGGTGATTGGAATGTCGAACCGAACCCTTTATTTCGTACACCGGGACAGATAGTTCTAGTTCCAAGTGCCATGCCTCTTCCGGATGTCTCAGTTATTGCCCTTTAACTCAACTGTTCAAGTCTTTTTTGGTTCACCACTGCTGTGGCCTGGTACTGAACTCACAACTCTTTGTGTTTAGTCACTGAATCTAACCTACGTCGTTATCCATTGGGTCATGAGTCATAATATACTGGAAATAATGCATAATGGAAATAATGAAAGTAATCATAATACCTCATCTCAGAGATATAGACATGCTATTTAAACTATTAATGTCCACTGTAAAATTTGTTATTAATAATACAAATCCAAAGAAAATATTTTATTATAGTTTTATCAAAACTCTGGTATTAATTACAGGTTTATAAAAAAATCCGGAAATGATTACAAGTTTCTTCCTATAAAAATGCAACGGCAGGCCAGAGGAACTTGGCTTGTCGTCCTTCGCCAACTCTCCCTTATGTAGTCTCCCACAAGCACTGACTAACAATTTCGCCTTTACCTCTCTAGCAATGTCTTGCGAATCTGACTCTCCGCTCCGTGATGCTGTCTCTTACTGGACAAAGCCTTCCATATTAAAATGATTTATTTTAATTCAGGTTGACCCATAGATTACGAATGTTCTCTATTCTGTACGTTTTCTATTACATTACAAAATAGTCTCCTGGTTATGACGATAAACTACATCCGGCAGCAAGGCTTCTAATTAATTTTTTAATAAATTTAACTTATTTTTATTTTATATATATTTTTAATAGTTACATCACGAACACCGTAATATTGCAATAAATTTAACATACACTAGTTTGTATATCCTTTTTGGTAAAACTTAATTACTTCATAAACAGCCCACGTTTTTAAAATGAATTTAATTTGCATTTATTTCATTATATTTTCTGTTAAAAATCCACTGACTTCCCGAACACACGTATATTTAAATGAATTGAATAGTGAGTTTGACTCTCACGGTGTGACCCATGCCTTGTGCCACATCTAAGCTACGCTTGGGAAATCAGTATATTTAAATTAATTTTCATTTTGTTATATCCTATTTTGTAAAAACTTAATTTCTTTTCCCAAAATATTATTTCTATATTTTACAAGCGTCAGAATATAAATCAAACGTTTAGTGAGTAATTATCTCCAAGATTTTCTGTGTGGGATTTTGCTTTTGCATATATATATATATATATATATATATATATATATATGAAGTTCGGTGAATACACGTAAAAGTAAGCTATTTGTCTGTTCTGTTCCTTTTCTAGGTTTGGACTCGTGCAAGTAGCATATCTGTATAAAATGCGTGTTATCTTTGTTGATGTTGTTGCTGCTAATTGACTTTTTTTTGACTTCTGAACTGAGGTTAAAAAAAAAATCTCTGCTACCAATATTTTTTTTTTCGGAATTAAAGGAAAATAATCGAATTTTTCTTATCTTTCACAGACACACCTTCTTTAAAAAGTGAGGAGTAATTCCGTTCAAGAGAAAACCGGAAAAAAAAAAATTGTAATCTTTATTGAAAAGTCTTCAGTCGTCTTTAATATTATTCAGCTTTGCTGATATAAAATTAGCATTATCACACGCAATCCAATCACTTAGTGGCAACAATGAAATTATAACGGAATATAGATAAGGGGAATATTCTTTTTCTTTTAGGTAAGTAAAAAAAATATATAAGTAGGGGGCCAGGTAGCAATTGTTAAAGTTCGTAAATACTTTTGACACGTGAAAAACAAAGCAAATTTTGAAACGCTACGCTTCATTTCATCAAATGAAACACACAGAAAAGCTACAGAAATGCCTCCGAAATTACAACGGCTATGTTTATCGAACAAGATACCAAGTGATTCCCGAGTTGCAGCAGAAAACATTGAGCACATTACTCGAAATATCGCGGGTAAGAAATAAGATTTTGTTGTCTTGAAAGGTATTTCAACTTACGTTCCCTGAAGTTTTAGTAGAACAATATATATATATATATATATATATATATATATATATATATATATATATGTGTGTGTGTGTGTGTGTGTGTGTGTGTGTGTGTGTGTGTGTGTGTGTGTGTAAGCAAATATATGGATATAGATCCGACAGTAAGTAAGAAAAATACAGAAAAACAAACAAAAATTTTAACATTATTTAATTATGCTGTATTAATGTTAATATAAAGTCGACGTCGGACGTTTCGGTCAATTTAAGACCATCTTCATGGACATTTTCATTTAAACATAATTAACATTAGAACATATAAAAATTTAACACAAAAGACGATGGACCAGGAAAAAGAAATTCACTGGGGAAATAAAATATAACCAATGGACACTTAAATTTGTCTGTTTTCATTGAATTAATCACTCTAATTTAAAATTGAGCTCTCTGTATTTCATCCTTCTTGGGATTATATATACGGATTACCAAGATTTTCATTACTAAATTTTAGGAATAAGCTATCTCTTGGTTTACGTGTGTTTTTAAGCATGGTTCTTTATAACATTCGTTATTGTGGGAGTGGCTAGGCGAATCATCTTGGTTAAGTTGTCAGAGAGTTAATTCTTATCTATAGATTCATCATCTTCTGAGAGGTTTTGCTCTGGTTGGGTAGGGGTATCTATTTAAAGGCTAATGTTGGCGGTCATTCTCTAGTTGGTTCCCAGTGTGGGATATTTTTATGGCGCGCCTAAGTTATGTGTCGTTTTGTTTATTGTGTTCTATCATCTCTTTATTTTTTGTTTTATTCATTGTCTATTTGATCATCTCTTTATTTATTTGTTTTTATTCAAGTTTTGGTTTTATATCTTAAACTAATTTGTTTTTCACGAACAGAAAAGTTTTTCCTATTTAATCGAACTTTTTTATAGGCTAATTATTTTGCGAAGAATTTGTTGATGGATAAAAACCACTTAACTCCTGTCGTTTAATAATTTTTCATTATTTAGAAACATAATGATGTTTGTTTTTTTCATGACTACGGATAAAGGGCATGGGTCATTCAGGTTTTACAGTTCTTGATACTATTTGGCTTTGGTGCTTCATTTTTCTTTTAGACTGAAATATTGGGATAAAGATGATTTCTATTTCGAATATTTAGCTCTTGTTTTTTGCCAACATCAATTTTGCTTTAAATAATTTAAAAAAATGCGAACAATTATTTTAAGACATTTTTTTAATTCGATACATTCTTTTATAATACAAATATTTAAAAATGGCCTGTTTTATTTGAAGTTTACATAATTCGACCCTTTTCATTCCCTCTGTGTCCGAAAGGTTAAAACACTTCAGGCTATATGACATTTCCGTATAGGATACAGGTTTTTTCCTGTCGGAGGACAAAAATTTTCTATGAAAATTTCTCGGACATTCAGGCCGGTAAATGTTGGTTCATTCCATTAACTTAAATATTTATATCTATAAAAGAATGTTAAACATGTAAAAAATGTATATATATATATATATATATATATATATATATTCCATTTGATGTTGTGGTGTGTTGTGTGTGTCTGTGTGTTGGAATAACTATATATAGAATTTTTATATTGATCATTCTGGAAGAAAGATGTATGACAAAGTTTTTCCTGTTTGAATCTTTGATCCAGTATATATATATATATATATATAATATAGTGTGTGTGTGTGTGTGTGTGTATTACAACACATTTGTTTTACTGGTCTTGCCAACATCAATAACTTGAAATTTTCCGATGATGTTTCAGTTAAATCCCATATCACCAACCAACCGAAAGAAAAAAAAACAAAAATTTTGTTCAAAAAATCCATCCAATACCAAATACTAAATCTAAAAACTGTAAAAACGACTGCAAAATACTAGACGCATTAAACATGAAACAAACATTATTTTAAGAATAAACATATTTAACATTTTTTTAATAAAAAAAATGTTGGCGAAACACTTTATACATAATCAAAATTGATGTTTTATCATAGCATAAAAACAAAATCTTTGACTATGGCTAATAAGCAGAAACATTGCATTGGTCAATTTTATAACGAGGAAAATGTTACAAAACAGAAAAGAAATCTAAATCCAAACCATAAATTAAAACATCAAATTTATCATATTATCATCTATCTATCTATCTTTCTTTCTTTCATCTATCTATCATCTTGCTTTCTTTCTTTCTTTTCTTTCTTTTTTGATCTATCTATCTATCTTTTTTCCTTTCTTTGATCTATCTATCTATCTATCTCCTTGTTTCTTTCTATCTATCTATCTATCTATCTCATGTTAACAGTCTATTTATAGCAGTCTCCTCATATCTATCTTATCTATCTCTTCTATCTCATGTTAACAGTTTATTGATAGCAGTCTCCTCATATCTATCTATCTATCTATCTATCTCTCTATCTATCTCATTTTAACATCCATTGATAAGTCTCCTTATACATTATCTATCTATCTCTTAACAGTCTCATATATCTCCTCATATCTATCTATCCATCTATCTATCTATCTCATGTTAACAGTCTATTGATAGCAGTCTCCTCATATCTATCTATCTATCTATCTATCTATCTATCTATCTATCTATCTCATGTTAACAATCTATTGATAGCAGTCTCCTTATATCTTTACATCTCTTCTATCTATCTTTATCCCTGTTAAATGGTGCTTATCTATCTAATCCTCCTCATGTTAACAGTCTATTTGTCTCCTCATATTTATCTATCTATCTATCGTAAATGACAGTCTCCTCATATCTAAATCCAAATACTACTATCATTTAGCATGCATCTATGCATCTGTCCCATGCAATTCTATACTACTTTTCTACATGCAATGTAATGTTCTATCTATTTTCTAATCTATCTTCTGTTCTACATGCAATGATAAAATCACTAAATGTTACAGGCTGTGAAAGATTTTTTTTCATCTTCTTCTGTTCTTTACGAAAACATGCAAATGTAATGTTCTTTTCAAGTTCTTCTGTTCTACATGCAATGTAATGTTCTTTTCAAGTTCTTCTATTCTATATGTAACGTTAATGTGTGCGTGTGCCTGTGGGTGCACAAATACGTATAAAAAGAAATAAAATGGTGTGGTTGTCTATGGATTTGTTCTTTCTTGGTCAATGTTTTCCTCTCTTTAAAGTTGGTTCGCTGTCTTGGGATGTCGAAAAACTTATTTTGGTCCTGCCTTCAAAACAAGTTGTTCTTGGATTGAAGATGGTCTCACGCCAGCCCTCCGAGTCACTGGGTCTTCCTGCAATCTCTTCGCCCTAAACCGATTCTGTAAATACCTATCCCCTTCTTTTATTTTTTGGTTGATTTTCCACTATTTCCATTTGGTCTTCTCTTACTTCCACCTTCTCACCTTCTCACTGCTCGGCATCTCCCTCCTCGAGTTGCTGCATGCAATGATGTCCATTTGATTATAGCCCCCCCTCGTTAATTTCCTCTTTCTTTCTTTTAACCTTCCACAATGCGACCGGTATTATACCTTGTTTTCACTCATGTCTATAACTATGAATGTACCCATCACTAGTCATTCGACCAACTTATCAGTCGATCTGTCAAAAAAAAACGGTCATCGTCTTCTCAAAGCCATACCTTCATTTCCCAACGCACTTAATTTTCAATTGTCCCTGTGGTTTCAATTGATGTTTTTCATATCGATCTTTTCTATCGTCGACAGAACACAGTCTTCATCATTCTTCTGTACTGGCACCTTTTTCGCCATTTTATTCAAGGTAACATTAGAGAATCCCTTCTTTTCTTTTGCCCTGTTAAATTGGCATTTACCCACAATTCCATTTGTACAATCTGGTTCTACTACTTTTCTACATGCAAGCCTTCTGCCAATCATTTCTGTTCTATGATTGAATCTTTTTTCTTCTTCATATCTTTCTTCTTCCTGGTAATAGGGGTAAGGAAATAGATATCCCAAATGCCGAACATCCATGGGTAACTTTAACAGGGATAATGGTGGCCTTCCCTCTTAATGTCCAGGTTTTGACGTGTCGGTCTATAGCTCGCCGGACTCTCCCCACATACCCTAGACAAGCTGATCTGCTCATCGGTTTCATTTGTGTCCCTCAATTGATTCATATCGATCTTTTCTATCGGCTTCATCAGTACTGGCATTTTATTCAAGGTAACCCCTTTACCCCGTCAATCATTTCTATGATTGAAACACTGATATCCTTGTAACAGGGTAATGGCTCTTAATGTTTGGACTAATACCTGATGGGTTTTGGCAAGTTCTCTTAATTCCCTCTCTCTTCCCTTCAAACAATTCTAGTATGCACATTTTGTGGTTACCAGCTATATAGATAGGGCTTAACGAGGTACAAGTCCCTAGAGCATCATTTCTACACTTTCTAGCTTCTTCTGCTGTTAGCAACATGAATTTCGTTCTCCCCGAATTTAAAGCTATGTATTCTGTTTCCACCTTGTACCTTGCTATCATTCCCAAACCTTGATCTCTTCTGGGGTAGGGAATGGGTAAATTTATAACCTGGTATATCTCGAATATACTCTCTCTATCTAACAACGGAACAGATATCACAACCAATAGTCGTCTATTTTCCAACAAGGTCACACATCCCAGTGCATTATAATATTTCCACAATTCTTTACTCAATTATTCCATAATTTCTTACTAAGTTCAGCTCTCCCCTCCTCTAACTAACTTCTAGCAGACAGAATGGTCCGGACAGGTGTGCGTGGCGCCCACTCCAAAGGTCGTACTTCATGACACCACTGATGGCCAGTTAGCAATGCCAATAATCTTCTTCCGTCCTTTGTGAGGTGCAGCTCGTGACTCCATCCCCTCCATCCACATCCACCACAGTCAGCCAGCAGGTTTTTGGATGAGCCAATGTCGTTATCTGTCGACACCGAATGCTTCTAT